AATGTTAAATGTTTTTAAATTGCACATCTATAACCTCTCAAAATCCTGGCCAAGGTTACAAATTATTACATCTACCATCCTTTCAGTCATTATTTTAATACGTTTTGTAGAAATGGTGCAGTTCCACTCGAGTTTCACCAATTCTTGTGGCTTCAGAAAAAATTCTTAAAAGCTCAGGTCTTTTGTGTTTTTAGTGTCTGTCAATCAGTTAAAACCACATTTTTTTTCTGAAGAGAAAAAGCAGACTTTGAACATGGCCTGGGCATATCCCAAAAGCTAAAAAGCCCTAAGACAAAAAAAAGGGTAAAATATTTACTGTTTCAAATAATCCTGTGACTTCAGAGGGTCCAGATTTCTACTTCCTGTCTATTTGAAGTTGGCAATATGCAAAGTATATTGATGCTTCTCAGAGCAGCTCTTAGCATGAGGTTACTATTTCATGTGAACTCTTCTAGCTTTAGGACGACTGGATCACTTTCTAGAGTTGAGGCAGGAGTTTGCCATTGGTACCCCCCCGCCCTCCCTGTGAATTCCAAGTGCTAACAGGCAGCGGATAAGCTTAAGTGTAAGAGTATGGTGGGAGCGGGAGGGAGGGGGTGGTGGTGGTTAATGTCTAAAATTAAGCTTCTGAACTCTCAAGCAGAAGCCTCCTACTTTCTTGCTTCAAGTGGTATGTGCTGGACTAAACAGGAATGGCATGTCCTGAGTCCTGCGAGCAGTGATCTCCTGGCTGGAAAGGGAATTTGAGGTCTGGTGAATGTAATGCTGGGGAGCACAGCGATGAGCCTGTGTGTGAGGCAGTAAGTAGGGTAAAATCTCTAATTTTGTTGGTTCTTAAATCCAAATCCACTCTGAGTTGTCATTTACTCTTTGTTGCTTGTGACAGGGTCTTATCTTTCAGTCACATTTTCCACTCCTGCAAGATGATCTACAGGGCTTCTGAGCTGAGAAAGGCGTAACCAAAAGCCAACATCTGCAAATTAAAACCAGGCAAATGTAAATTCCAAAAATGACCCTTTTCTTCAAAGTGAAAGAGACCTAGGAATGTCTCCAATTCTTTGCATCTTGAAATGAAAATCACTCCTCTCTGTGGATGACATCTTTATTTTTGTGGTCTGCATGACCTCAAAACTACTGGCATCTTCTTTCGTTATAGCTTTAAAATCTCAGGCTCTTGATCCTATCACTGGTTTATCCTGCATCCTAGTTTTTTATCCTTGTAATCAAAAGCCACAGTTGCCTCAGAGCTTTCTAAATCGTGGGTTGATTTAGGTGAATCATAGAATCATAGAATCATAGAATCATAGAATCATAGAATCATAGAATCATAGAATCATAGAATCATAGAATCATAGAATCATAGAATCATAGAATCATAGAATCATAGAATCATAGAATCATAGAATCATAGAATCATAGAATCATAGAATGGTTTGGGTTGGAAGGGACCTCAAAGATCACCTAGTTCCAACCCCCCTGCCATGGGCAGGGAAACCCTCCACTACACCAGGTTGCCCAAAGCCTCATCCAACCTGGCCTTGAACACTTCCAGGGATGGGGCATCTACAGCTTCTCTGGGCAACCTGTTCCAGTGCCTCACCACCCTCTGAGTGAAAAATTTCTTCCTTACGTCTAATTTAAATCTGCCCTCCTTCAATTTAAATCCATTGCCCCTTGTCCTGTCACTACACACCCTTGTAAAAAGTCCCTCTCCAGCTTTCTTGTAGGCCCCCTTTAAGTACTAGAAGGCTGCAATAAGATGACCCCAGAGCCTTCTCTTTTCCAGACTGAACAGCCCCAACTCTCTCAGTCTGTCTTCATAGGAGAGGTGTTCCAGCCCTTGGATCATCTTTGTGGTCCTCCTCTGGACCTGCTCCAGCAGCTCCATGTCCTTCTTTGTTGGGGACTCCAGAGCTGAACGCAGTATTCCAGATGTCACCTGGACAGAGCGGATGGGAGCCAAGCAAGGTGAAAATTGAAAGGGAAACAATCCTGGAGGGCTGCAGACATTGTCAGGGAAGACAATAATCTGTGCAGGGCTCTCCATGGTATCAATACACACATACAAAAAAAGAAAAGCAGCTCTCAATAGATTTGCCGTGTCTTGCTTCAGTTTTTACGGAGCAAAGCGCTTTCTGCTACAGCTCCTCAACAAGCTTTTTGCGGGCACCTGGGGAAAGGAGCGCAGTACCTTTTATTTGTAACAGCCTCCAACTCAAAAATATTGAAGTCCCAGCTTTCCTCATTATCCAAGAGCTGTGCGATACAGGGCGGAACATCGTTGATGGTGTTTGGCACTGAAAAGTGACTATGGCTCAGGTTCATATCTGTTGAAATGGAATTTGGGAATGACAACATTTCTGGATTTTTCCCTCCACCCGCATGCAGAATTCCATTTAGAAAAGAACTGTTTTTCAAGAAAAACAATGATTTTCCTTACATGAAAGAGTCTGTAAAAGCCTATAATATATATGGTTTATAATATCACAGATTATTTGGACATAAACCAAAGAGATCAGTGAACATTTCTTTCAGTGACAATTTAGTTTTTTCTTAGTCTGATTCTTTACATTTTTAAATGTATTACTTTAACTATTTGAACCTGCTTCAACTCCAAAATGGAAGCAGTCTAGCACTTGTTCTGCAGTCACTTAGACAACTATTTCCAAAGACATATATCCCACTGTGAATTAGCTTGGAGCTCTACATCATTAGCAGCTACAACAGAAGTCACACATGCAAAGGGAAGTTTAAAATGGTGGCTTACTCTTAGAAAACACATACTCGTTTCCTGACAATCTTCTCAAACCATCCTGAAAAAGCAAGTTTATCATAAATTTTAGACAGAATATCCATGGATCATCAATTGCAAAAGCACTATATGCACTTTCTCTTTAGGTGCTATTCCTGGGTAATAAAAGGACTGCTCCTATTGTAGCACTGCAAGAATCATCCTTGTTTTAAGGTCTTTCAAAATAGACATGAAAGGTTCCAAGGGATATTAGTATGAGGTCTCGAGAAAGGATATTATTAAATCTACAGTGCATTGCCCTCCTTGACTCTTCATTGGCACCTGCAGGATTTCATCATTCAAATTAACCACTATAATTTATTTTTCGTTTTCTTTATATTATTTTGGCAAAGGTTAGCTCAATGTATGTTAAAAAATGAGGTTAAACCATGATGAAATGTAGGCGGTCTGTCTGTCTCTGGCAGAAAGTGTTGCTGCTGTTACAAGACTAAAGACAGAATCTGATTAAAGTAACCTCACACTTAACACTGGACCTGCTGTAAAGCAATTCCTCTAATCCCATCTAAACTTCTAGGGTTTCCTAAACAGAATCTCCTTGAGGCAAATCAGGTTGGATTTATAAGTGGCAATCATGTTCACTATGAGGATGAATGCACTAAATGGAGACGTGGCCATATTTTACTACATCTTGGTGCCTGCTCTTATTAGACAGGCCAAAATACTCAAGGTGACAAATTCCAAGTCCCCTTCCAATCGCTTGTGAAGTTTTAGTCCAGCAGAGCACTGAACTGTGATGTAGGAAACTGGTAGCAGTAATTTCATCTTTACTAATTTTACTCACAGTCATCAGACCTCCAACAAGATCACTTGTGTGAGGATCTTCATCTTTGGTACCTAGCTGAGGGGAGTAAAGTTCTGTTGTCCGCAGGATTTCCAGAACTCTGTCCAAGGCCTCTGCTACTGTGATAGGGCTGTTTTCCTGGGCAGCATTAATTATGTTAATAACCTGAAAGCAGATTAAGGAGGCAGGTGAGGAAGAGTGAATGGCACTTTTGTCTTCTCTTACTACAAAATCTTTATTCTTGGCTTGATTATGCTACTTCCCATTTAGCAAATGGTATGTAATCTCCCTCAACACTTTAAGTACAACTCCGAAAATGTAAATTTGTTTTCTAATTCCCTGGTGTCCATCTGCTGTTTGTAACTGGTGAACTCCAGGAAAATGAAAGGAGAAGAGTGTGAAATATCTGAAATACAGGTGGGTAGACCAAAAACTAGCCATGTCCCAGTCCTTCAGCATAGCCAGGTCTGCTCAGAAGCAATCATTCAGTCCCCAGGGAGAAAAGAAACAGACTTCTGGACATGATTTAGATATCCTGATATTGAATATAAATCCTTCATTTTTTTCAGTGTGAAAATGAAGGCCAGAGAGCAGAGAAAGCAGGGAGAAGAGGATGGCTCTTCTTTGCCTCTCGCCTTGTGTTTCAGCCATGATCTGGGGGTGTAGCAATGACACCAAGGACTGCTTCTGGCACTGAGAGGGAGAGTGAGAGGGAGAAAGCACCAGTGCCGTCTTCTCCAGCAACCAGGAGCTGCTGCAGGGCCACTGCAGGTCTCCTTGAGAGTAGGCTTGGGGAGAAGGAAAGGAAAGGAAAGAGTCAGATGCTCTAACAGGTACAGTGGTGCTGGGAAGTAAAGAGCTTGATGCCAGGAAGAGAAGATGGGGAGATAGCAAAAAGTGGTTAGAAGGTTGGGTATGGCAGGCACTCCGGTTTATGGGACAAGTGATTGTGCAGCTGTTTTGCAACAGCAGAATTTGTATAACAGATAGAGAAGAAAAGACTGCAGGAAAGTGGAGGGACAGAACATGGTGCAGGTGCTCCCTCCTCTGCATGCTGTCTTACAAATACCAATGGTAAAAGCAAAGGTGAGACTGGAAGCACATGTCTTACTACACATACACGGCCCAACAGAGCAGGGTTCCCTTCCAGCTACAAGCACTGCATCTAGCAAAGACATCCTTTTCCCCCGTTTAATATTCTTCCTTATGACTAGAATTTGGAATGAGATGATGAGATGCAGAAGGTGGTAAGGAAAAAAATACTTTTTAGATTATTCTGTTAAATACAAGGTGCAGGAAACCCCTGGCTGTCCTGCCACAAACTGCATACTTCCCTATGAGATCAACTCCAAACTCTTGAGTTTTTGGAAAAGGCAATGCTCAGGACTCACCTTTGTGATAGGAGCTTCTATTGTCATTGAGTGGATCCTTGCCATGGAAGAGTACCGTCGGGTCTGCAAACTTGGAGCTGCCGTTAAAGAGAGCACCGTTTACATGCCACAGAGAGTAAATCACATGACAGCGTTTAAAGCGTCACTGGGGAACAGCATGACAGAATCCAGCTTCATCTCCCATTTCTCCTGTATCTCCTCTCCTGCAAGTTCTTGCTTTACTGTTTAATTTCTTGCATCGTTGTCTGCCTCCTTTGCAACCATCCCTCTCTTCTGCTCTCAGTTTTTTCTGTCCATCCATCACTTCAGCTATACTGAAATGAAGCTATACTTAAGCTATTTTATACTTCATGCCCTGTACCTGCCACTCTCCCTTTGTTTTCAATGGATCTCTGTCAGACACGGCTCTTCCTGTGAGAGTACGGGTGCATACGTTCCTCATCTCAGGGATACAGCTGCTCTAATGAAACCTGTTCCTGCTCCCCATAAGCTGCACTGCTCTCACTACACACTGAGGCAGAAAGAAATCTCTGCCGCTATGTCCCAACCGCCCCAAGCAGTCACAAACGGGATCAGGAGCAGAAGTACTGCCCTCAAATAACCCGCAGCAATAGATCCCTTCATGTCCCACACTAATGAAACCAAAATACTGGTTTGGGAGCACATGCTGCAGCCTTCTAAGAGAGGTGGAACTAATGCTTCACCACCCACTCTTTTATCAGGCTGCGGCACAGCCACTCCTCCTCTCTGTGAAGGCACTGCACGCCACATGCATTGTGCAGTGGTTCTGGTACTCATGCTGGGACACTGCTTCGCAAGTCAGAATGAAAAAATTTTACAGCAGTTATAAAAAAAAAATTGACTGATGTCTGTTTAATCAGCTGTGAATCTGTCTGGATCCTCTTTCATTCTGCCTTTTTGTTTTCTAGGGCAAATCTGTTCTTTATTTATAATGTTATTCTTGACAGTTTACTTTCTTACCGTCACTACTTTGAGATGTTATTGACTTAATATCAGTTGAGTCTTTCCTTCTGTTCTTGCATTTGAAGGAATGGGATTCTGTAAATACAAGACAAAAGCTTTAAAAATGCATCAAGTAAGACCCCTACAGAGCTTCCTCCACCGATACTTATGAACATTTAGTTTAATGATCTTAACAGTACCGCATAAGTGGGGGAAATACTGTAATCTCTGCACATCAGAACAAGGGATTCAGTGTCTGTAAGTTTACAGCAGCTTGTCTAAAGTCACCTAGAAAGCTGTTTTGCAAAGAAGTGAAGACACCTTATGGAACAGGGAAGTTGCTTCACGTAACTTTAGCTGTCTAAAACCAACAGTTCTTCAGGCTGTCTGGGTCTAAGGTAGCTGTTAAAGATCCTGCTTTAGGAGAGATGTCTCAGGCAGGTGGGTTGAACCCCTCCTGCAAGTCCTTTTTGCTTTGCACCCATCACTGAACAAGCCTGAGTTTAACCATCTAGAAGTTTAACCAAGTGAGAAAAATCCTGTCTCAGTCTACGTTCTTCCAGCCCAAGCACAGTTCAGGCTCAGACAGCTTTTGCTTTTAATTGCAGTAATTGTTTGTACCCTGCGTTTAAGAAAAATCAAACACACTGAGAAGGTTTATAAACAATTGATTCAGTTACTGTGAAAATTAACCATGTACCAAGCTGTCCTTCTTGAAACTGCCATTTGCTAAAGCAAGAGAAATTACCACATCCAGACAAATGCAATAGCTGGATGAAATGCCTGGAAAGAGCCTCAAAAAAAAAAAAAAAAAAGATTTAGTAAAATTTTATATCTCCAAAACATTACAGTCTGCTCTCTCCCTTGTGTTTAGAAACAGCAACTGTGTATTTATGCACGTCTTTGCAAGAGTCTTTATACTACCTGTTCCCAGAGTTTCTGAAATGCCACTCAAAGATCAAAGACCCCAGGAAGCTTCTAAAAGGAGATAACTACCATGTGAAGAATCAGAAGTATCTTAAAATTTATATTCTCAAGATAATGACCAATTTGTATAACTGTGTTAGAAGACAGAATATGTGCAGCCTGTCTTTAGCAAAATAAAATGTTTGTATACCATTCTCCAGAGCTAAAAATATATCCATCTTAAAATGACTGAAACACAGTTTCTGTCTTAATACTTTTCTTTACCACAGATTTACAAGACCACTTGGGTCTTTTTATTTTATTGTAGTCCAGACTGGAGAAACTGAAAGCACTTTCCTCTGTTGACAGCTAAGAGCAGGGAACAACCAATGCATCTTAAATTACTTTATTTATTTATTTGATACGACTCCTCTTTGAACCCCTTTCCTACATTAACATTTGGAGGAGTTTAACGGGAGGCACTTGAGTGGGAGCAAACATTTATGCATATGCACAGCTGTGAGCGGCAGTAGCACACAGGACAACTCTCCTTGTACTAAATACTAACTAGCAAGTTGGAAACTCTGTTAGTGCTACCTAGAAAGTCACAGGTGCATAAAAGCTACTCTGTGCCAGGCTACAATTTCAGCTGAAAATATTTAAATGCTGAACAAAAAATAAATTTTCTTCATCTGGCGAGCAGAATGTCTCCCCATTCAGATGTGTTACAAATTGCACCATCACAAACAGCACAATACACACAGCTTATTTTTCTACTCTCATCACGTACTGGTATATGGCCATGGCTCTGGAAATTTATTTCTGGAGCACAACCATGGACTGCAGGGCAGGATAACCTACATCACATACACGTGACTCTAAGTTTGCCCGCTTTCACTGCATCACAGTGGCTTTATGGGATGTGGCTTCCCAGACCTGCTGAAATTTGTGACAATAATAAGCAAACTTAAACGCCCCACATAATCTGTAAAACATGTAAGTAAGCTAGTAACTACATGTTAACTAGTAACAAATGTTTCTCAGCTTAATTCACAGGTGTTCTCACATTCTCGTGTTTGAAGGAAAGAAATGGTGAGAAAGAAAAGCTTCGTTTATTACAGGGACACAGCAGCTAACAGTTTAATACATGATGGATCAGTTCTCTTGGCTGCAATGGTGATGAGAGCAGAAAATTGCATATATTATCCCTTCTGCCTCCTGCACATTATTATTTGGAACCACAAAGCTCTCCAATGCTTGTACGTACTCTTACGTTACTTGAAAAAGCAGGGAATGTCAAGCGGTCACTTCTCACGCTCTTGGTGTGTTACATACTCCTCCTATGTGAAAATCAGAAGCTGCCTGACACTGCACAGCAACATTGTCCAGTGTTTCGTACTGGGAAGGGCCTCTGGCTCCAGAAGGCAATGGGGCACAAGAAACTATTCACTCAGAATAAGACAGTGGTGCTGCATTGGGCTCAGGTCACCAGAATCATGAGCTTAAAATCAGCCTTTGGTGCCTCGTTCTTCAGGGAAAATGGTTATTCTAAACATTTCACGGCATCGGAAAAAGAGATTACCCCCTTATACTCCACGCCTTTCACCAAAAGCTGTCTGCAGAAGTTACTGAAAGCTTGAACATGTTGCCTGCAAGTAAGTCAACCTGCCCAAGACACAGAGAGGCTGGTGCAGGCACACTGCCACAGCCCAGCGCTCCCTGGACCCGCTCTAGCCTGGATGCTACAGGCACCTATCTCAGCCCTGTGCTGGGGCCAAACCGAAGGCCTGCTGACGGGTCCTGAACTTTGAAACGCTCGGGCAGATCTGCTGGCACAGACCAGCACAGTTGCACATTAATTTCAGACAGAAAGGGGTGCCAAGGTACATCAGCTTCAGGATCAGACACTGTATTTTAGTAGGGTGAAGAGCAATGAACCTGAACTCCGAATGCATGGCGAGAGCTCTGTGCAGGAGATTGAGTTATTAATGACGATTACAAATCCGATTCGTGGTGTGATATCAGAGCAGCTGGCATCCGCCATCGGCCATCTGCTCTGACCACTGACTCAAGAGAGAGAAAGACAACATTTCATACCAGCAAAGCACTTGGCTGCGACCTCCAGCACAGCAGTACATAAAGGTAAATGATAGTGTTCTAACCTGACTGAGCATTGTCTCCAGTGTACTTCTCATCACGGTGACTCTTGTAGAGCTGAAGATGCACCGAGAGTAAATATATATGTAAGGGAAAAGAATGCAAAAAGATTTAATTTAAAAGGGCTACATCCAACTCTGTCCTTACCCAGCATTTACTGTTCAGTTATTTAAAAAAAAGCATTCAGCAAAG